ATGAAGGAGTGAGTTAAAATACTGATTCATTAATAAATAAATTTTATATATTTTATATGAATATATAAATATGTATAATTAAAGTATTATAAGGGTGTTAAAGACCCATTGAATAAAAATGATATCATTTTGTTGTTTTCAATAAAGTGATCTTCATTCATAAGTAAAATCCTGCATATGAGATTGTTGGTTTTACTAATCTGGTTAGAGTTAAAATAGTTTTTACGGTCATAAAGAAAAAGTTATTGCACTTTCACACTTTCTGCTCTTTACTGAGGCTTAGAGTAGAAACGTATTCTTTAAGAGCAGTAACGAAGTCAGCGCTCTTTAAATTTTTGCTATCTAGCTGAATTTGACACAACTTACTTGTAGCCATTGGCAAGGTAATTGAGGGATAACGGAACATTTGAGTATTGTCATTGGAAATTTTCAAGCCTTTTAAGCTTAGGAAACAATGCATTATAATTTTACTTTTTCTTACCACATTGAATTCTACATTTGCCTTCTTGAGCTAGTCTGCTCTGTCTTTATGCGCTGCAGATGTGGATGCTTCCAAGTTAGAAAAATTATTCTCAAAACCATCTTTTATTGTTTAAGCTTCCTCAGCTACTCAATCCTCAGTTAGATAGTTTCAAGACTAACCTCGCTTCATTTGAAGGAATGCTGAAATCTTCAAAGATGGCTAATGTATGTGTTCAGAATGTTTTAAAAATGTACTTGAAGGAAAGTCAGAATTCAATTTTTCATTGTAATTGTTAACTCTGCATCAATCTTTTAACTTTCTCTTCGTAGTTAATTGCGGCAAGTTGAAGTTCGGATATGGTTAACTCTGATTAAAAGTCAAGTATCTATTTGCTCTAATTAGACAACAGTATATGCTTTATTTCGCACCAGCGTGTGTAAACCAATACTAATTATATTGGTAAATGACAAAGTTGAGGCGCTCAACACAGGCCTTTATTTTGCCTTAAATCCTGTAGCAATCTAGAAAGAGATTTGCCTGGTAACATGATCGCACTAATTTAAATAGACAAAGGTTCGAGGATTCTTTCGTTTAGGCCCTTGTTAAAGACAGTTGCACAAGTCCAGATTAAGAACTCAGAATCCCTGAGTAGAACTTCTTCTTCTTAGAATGCTCTGATCATTAGCTAGCCTCCAGAGAAGCCTCTAACAGTCTCTTTGACATCAGATACCCTAAGTTTACTCCATCCGTTCTATATCTTAATTATGCGTGTATCCAATTTAATTATTCTATTATTAAAGATTCATCATTATTAAATGTCGATGGAGCTTGAATATTAGCTACTAGCTGTAACCACTCAGAATTTTTCAAAAGTAGACTATCAACTGTCTCCTGGAAAGCTAGCTGAACTTGAAGCTCTAATCAAAACCATGGAAGAGATCAAAAATATGATGGAATAATCTCATGATGAGGTGGTAGTTGATGGAGTTCTGTACACAGCGACTCAAACTGCTGCAAAATATGCTTTTGAGGCCTTCGATAATGGAATCTTATCGATAGGGAATATTATCACAGAAACCAGATACCTGATTGAAAGTATCGAATTAGTCGTTGACAAGACTGGAGATAAATACTTCTAGAAGTCTTTGATTACAGACCTCAAGGAACCTCTCATTAACTTAGGGCACTGGATAGCGACAATGAGAAGCTACACGGAGAATATCCAATAGAATTATTTTAGACAATCAATCCTTGTTCTTCTTAAAGTTGAAAAAAACTATAATAAAAACAAAGATTTATATACTCAAGTCTATCAAGAATGGTCCAAAAGTGAACTAGCTCGGACTGATGACTTTTAAAGCAATTGGGTAGATATTGAAAAAACAATCAACAAGATTGCAGAGCAGTATCTCTCTGCTTTTAGCTCCCGAAAAATCATGGATATGATGGCAAAAGTGGCGAGAATGTTCAACTTTCAATGTGAGTAGGTAAACAAAGATTTGCTTAACAAAAAAGAAGAACTTATTAAAGCTGAGCAACGACTTGCTGAAAAGGAGAATACTAGGAACTAGCTCAACTTCTTGTGGTTCGCTTTTTGGATTGCTGCTGCCATTAGTCAGGCTGTAATGGCTAGCGAGGTTGCTGCTGCTCAAGCTGCTGTGAAAAATGCCTACACAGCCTTGAAAGAAGCTATTGCTTCGGGCAACGAGCATATGATTGTCAGAGGGCACATAGTCAAAGCATTAACCTAAATGAACGCAATTTCCCACCTCCATCCTACCTTACTTTCAACTGCTCAGATTATGAAGTTCACCACTGCTA